TATACCTGATCTGTTTTCGTTCCTTCGAGGTGCTCAAGGGCTTATGCTTGTTTACCAATGGAGAGGTTAAAAGACTTTGAGGGCATCCAGTATATTAATTCTGAACTTCAAATGAATTTAGATTTGTTCTTTTTTCTTCTTCTTTTCAGGGGGGGGGGGGTGTTTCACTTGAGGGGAGAACTACATATACCCCCACAGTTTCTTTCCCAATTGGTGTAACTGATAAAGAGGAAGGAATTTTTGGGGATGGTGGAGCTGAAAGATTAGACGGGAGGGTCATTTCTTTTTGGGATGGAGGTAGATTTTGAAATGTTGAACACTTGCTGTATTTTATCAAACAGTCACATTTTATCAAACATTTACTAGGATGGAAGTTGTAACGTTACACTTATGGGAGGAGGCCTAGAGGGGCTGAAGCCCCTCCCCCTCCCCTGACTTTGCGTGATTAGCATCCTGGGCCCCTCCCCATCTCTTACTTGTGGTTCCAAAATGCTGACTCGCTGATGATTTAGAATTGTAGCTGATCAAGAAGTGGAAGGAAAGCAAGTCAATGTTCAAATTATAGCATAAAATTATCAATAGAAACTATCAGAAAGAGCATCCAGAATGCAGCTTTGGACAGTGTATGTTATCATGAACTGTACATTCTGACATTGAATGAGGTCCACCACGCCCCGTCGGATCTGAATGTAATACAGCCGGTTCATAGGACAAAGTGATTAGAAATTAATTAGTGTTTGCGGGTTTGGTCCTATGTTATTTTGTGGTTTTCTTTTCTGACTGGAAAACAAATTTCTCTTGAGGTTTTCAGGATGATTGGTTTTGAATTAATGACATATTTATTAAAAACGGGTACATCTGGCTCAATCATTGTTCAGTGGGTTTCTTTAATGCTTAATTTACAAAGAGTGTAATGGTGTATGGTAGCCAGGTTATCTATATAGATTCTCATGTACTGTTATTGCCAATTATTAACCTGGATTCCAAACCAGTGCCTGCTTAGTTTACACATTCACCCTATGTATCTTGACAGTAAATTTCTAATTTCTGTATATCTAGCATTGTGTATAAATTTTGGTACAGAATATTAACCATGATTAAATTGACATTTAAAACATTCGTGTAAAAAACAATGGAAATTAATTATGGATATGAGGGGGGGGGGGGAATAAAGACAAAAAAAATACTGTTACTAGAATATTTCCACAAATTCTTAACTACAGGAGTTAAGTCAGCCAGGATTAACAAAGCACCAACATTGAGAGAAACTCTTGATGCAATATTTTTTTAATGGAATCTTGTGTTTCCATTATACATTAACCTTTGTCAGCTATTTTGGATTTTTGTGTACTGGAGTGTAACACATGGACACTCTGTGTGTTTAATGCTTTTGACTGTGGTAAACACACCAGTGTTGCTTACTTCTTACTTTTCAAAACAAACTTGAGCTGAATCCATTGGAATCCGTTCAGTTATGAAAAAAAAAATATCATCCAAACCATTATGAAACTTGTTTTGTAGTTTCCCTGACCAGCAAAGTGTGATTGAAACAGAAATATACGACTTCAGGATTGGTGACAATAGTTGGTCAATTTCTCTGACTTCACCGTGCTTGAGTGCATTGCATATTCAAGGGAGGAGACTATTGTGTAGTAGTAAATGGTTCCAACAGATGGAGCGATGTAGAAATATTGTATAAATTGCATGTGTAGAGGAAAAACACTGATGTACATGAATAACAACATTTGATATTCAAGAAAAGAAAAATTCATGTCTGTTATTTTTTGTGTTGTTTCATAAAACAAACTCTGTCATATCATGCCATCAATCCATAGTATCATGTAGTGTAAACTTGTACTGTCCGTGCTCTTGAGCAGCACCAATGATCTATTTCCGGGAGGAGTTTTGTACTTGCATGTTTTATTTTAACAAAAACACCCCCTGTGGGTTTTTGGGGGAAAAGGCTTTTATTTTGGGTTGTTTTTGCATGCAAACAGGTCCGACCTGCGACTAGACCGATTCCCAGTCGCTTCTTTTATCATAGTGATAGGTGTTGGGATCCATACCGTGTGCACACTGAATTATTGTTGGGCCGCAAATAATTTTTACTCTGTAAAAGCAACTTTCCAAAACTAAATGTGGATCTACTTATTTGCTCGGTGTCATATTCAAAAATCACTATTAAGGGGATGAAACTCAAAAATAGCATTGACAGTACATGTACATCTTTAAGTATTGCAGGGTTTTTAAGGTTTCTTTTTTTTATCGGGGGGGGGGGGGGGGTTCAGGCATATAGCCCGTCCATATCTCCCCTGTGACTGTTGAACCCAACTAATAATGTATTTCAGAACTGAATTTCATATGTTTATCACTCATTGGAAATGTGGGTATTTTGTCGTCACGGGAGGGCGCTGTAAAAGGGTAAAGGATGCAGACCAGGGCCCAATTTCACGGCGCTGCTTAACAGTTAGCAGAAAAGTTGTGTTTAGCATAGCAGAAAAATTTGCTAACCTTAAGCACTATTTCACGGCGTGTGTGTGCTAACGGTCGCGCGTGAATGGAGATTTCTATTGTTACGTCACTAAGTTAAGCAAATTTTTCCTCTGAGGTAAGCATGCCTTTTGCTGTGCTTATGCTTACGGTCTCCATGAAATAGACGGAGGCTCTGTTAGCAGAAAAACGTGTGCTTAGCAGCGCCGTGAAATTGGGCCCAGTAAATAAAATCCAGATAGCATTAAATGCCCTCACTTTAAAAATCGGGAAAAGGTCATTTTCCTCAAAACATTACATTGAATTAAAGTTAAAGTTTGATTCACCCTCTTTCACATTCTGTAAAATTGTTGGTTATCCAATGGATTTGGGGTGATTTGGCGGTTTTGTCCCTCCAAAAACTATCACTTATCAGCTTATCCGTGGGGGGGGGGGGGGGGGGGGGGGGGGGGGAGGGGGGAGGGGGAGGGGGGCACTTTTCCCCCGGCGGATTTTTTTTACCAAATTTTTTGTCAGCAATGATTTAAATAAATGTTTCTAGAGCTCTTCTGACATCAATCCCACAAATGAAAACCCGCTCAACAACCATTGCAATACGCCGTGAACATGTCAATATAATAAGCCTATGTAATAGTATGCATGAAAATTGGCAGTTTTGAAGAGCGCCCCCATATGGAAGATATTATGTACCCCCCCCCCCCCCAACCCGCAAAAGCTGAATTCGCTGCTGCAGCTTTTCTGAGCTGTAGAATCATATACATGTATAGGCTACAATTTTTATTCGGGATACGACAAAAGTGGGAAGGGGGAACAAACGATATGATATCCCCCCCGCACTTTAATAAATGGGGATGGGGAGGGGGTTCCGGGGCCGTGCCCCACAGATTGACGCCCATGCATGGCAGTAATATGAATCGTAAGTTGGCCGACGCATGCAATGTTTGACCCATTTTCTGGTCTGCACTTCATATTATATCGTGGCGTCGGAATCAGAAATGTCCGGGAAAATATATCCAACTTTTCGCGATGGGAATGTCTTTCTTTCTTCCAATAGAGTTCTAGACTGAGTCCATAAATAGCAAAGGGGAAATAAAAGCGGGGTTTGTATGACCGAGCTCTGACGAAACAATGCGTCTAATAGCTTTTCATTCCCAACTTTTTCTGAAAAAAAAAGAAGTCTCTATTTTGAACCTCAAAACGCACTAACTACACTATGTCTCATTGACCAAAAGGCTCACTACTTATCTAATGCATAACAATTAGCCATTCATAATTATTGAAAGTTTGATTTTCTGTAGCTACACAGAGCAAAGACGTATTGACTATTTCACTTTTTTTAAGCAGAAGTTATAACTAATCAAAAAGTCCAACACTTGCAGTCGTTTTTGTCTTCGTTGAACACGAGCTTTGTACTAATGGAGCTGAGGTTTTTCAATTGAAATGGTTTAAATTTGTTTTAAACGTTAACAGACGAACTTCGAATGATGCTGTGTTAGCAGAAGTAGGTCGATTCCCCTTATATATTGAGCACAGTGTTAATACTCTTAGATATTGGTTTCACTTGTCTGAAAAACCCGAGAGTTCTATTTTATACAATGCGTTTTGTGAAGACTCAGCGTTAGGAATTCGCCGTAAAACCTCGCTCTCCTTAAGGTTACGTAAGTGTTTTGACACAGTTCATTGGAATGTTCCAATAACAAGTACTTGCGGTAGTAATAAAAGGTCTGTATTGAGTACTCTTACTAATCTTATGCAAGACAGCTATATTAAACAGTGGAACGACAGACTGCATTGTGACCTTAGAAAAGATAGTTACCAGAAAAACAAACTTCGTACTTACCGTATGTTTAAACAATTATATGAGTTTGAGCCATATTTATGCTACTTATTGGATTCTGGTTATAGATCTTGTTTTTCTCAATTTAGATGTTCATCTCACAAGTTAATGATTGAAGTTGGTAGATACACTGGTTTAGCTCTACATGAAAGGTTATGTCCACATTGTCTACTTGATGTTGAAACAGAAATGCATTTTCTTTTAGAATGTCCATTATATAATGATCTTCGATCTAATTTTCTTACTGACATTTGTAAAATGGAACCTGGCTTTAACGGTTTAACAAAAAATGATAAATTCATTTTTCTGATGTCGTCGGCAGATAAACATACTATTATATGTGTGGCTAAATTTATTTTCCAATGTACAAATCTTAAAGAGAGGCAAAGCATGACGTAATTTCAAAGCATATTCTTTGTTAACCCACCTGCCAAATAATTCAATGTTTAATTTCACTGTTGTAACCCTTCCCCAGGGTCATGGGTTTTTTCCTATTTGTGGAATAAAACATAACATAACATAACTAATTTACATGGGCATTGAAATTGATCAGTATTTGTGGTGGATCCATTAGTTTTCAAATGAGTTGGCTGAGTGGTCAGCAAAAGTAATACAGAACTTAACGGCCTGAAGCAAATACATAAGGCAGCATAGAACTTGCAATATCGTTAATTCAGGAAAGGAACTTTTGGACGGAACAAACCATTTTAAATCCGCCCTCGCAACGACGGAAGCAACTTCAGCATAGCGTTCGTTTAAGTTGAATTCTATAAGCAGAAGTCCTCCCGCTGTTGAAACTGACGCTCAGAGGTCGTCTTTATCAAAGTGGACGTTATGTCCCGTCAGGATGTCCTTGACTCGTTTCTTGGCGTCTTTCTTGGCGCCCATCATTCTCTCCAAGAATTCCAGCTTCTTGACTTCTCCGTTACCCTCATCCTCGGCGTCCGTGTCTCCTGCTCGCTTCATCAGCAGGTCGATCTCGGTGTCTATGTCTGATTCCAGCCTCTCAGCTGCTTTCTCCCGTCCCTTCACGTCTGTCAATTCCTCCTGGGGAAACAGAAAGATCAAAAAGTTTAATAAGTAAAGGAATTGAACGAGTGCCTCAGGTTTTCCATACGACGGAACACGCTCGTAACGAACGTGGAGCCGTTCGTTTATGAAAACAATGTAAAGCCGTTGATTGGTCGATGGTCTGCCGAAGTTACTGGCCGTAGACCTATCGGTCAAGATCTGAAGATCAAGCCAACCATATATTACATAATGACCAAATTTTTACGCATGTATACATACGTTTGTTGTGTGAACGCAGGCTGTATGCGCACACAAGTGTATAAACACCTTCAATCGTGCACCCCATATATTGTCCCTCTTTTGTTTGTACTAAAACTTTTTAGAAGGACCTGTACACGATCGTCAATCGTGGACCCTCGGTCAATCGTGGACCCTATTGTCTTCTATTGCTCAACGTCCACAATTTAAATGTGTGTTTGAAAACGTGGTTTGGGTACCGGGTCCTCAGCCCTCTCGTTTTAATGGGTCTTCCTTGAGTTTAATGTCAATGTTTCATTATCCTGTACGGTTTTCTTTCTAAGTCTACGAAGTACAGTAGACGTTTGCGCATTTCGAACGAGTATAATTATATAGCTCCTTCGAGCATATTAATGCGCACGTGTATTTTAGCGCTTAAGTTTACAACAAAATCCTATCCACATCTTCATTGGTCTAAAGAAATGAAGATGTGGTTATAGGAGCAGTATTATCATTTGCATTTATCCCAGAAGTAACCAGCTTTCTTGGATTAAAGATCGTACTGGTATTAAACAGCCCGTGAAATCATTCCGTCTTCACTGCTTCTTCATTTAGAAGAAATCAAGTAAGTGTATGTAGGTGATTTCCAACGATCAGTCAATTGACTGATTTTTGGACATAAAGAGTGCTACAGACAAAATGGTGTTTCGTGATGGTTGTGCATGGTTTTTCCACTAAGTGTAATATCCACGAGCTGAAACTTACACAGGTTAGGTTTTGAACATTCTTCTTTTCATTTTTGAGTGATATTGGAAACATGTAAAATGCACGAAAAGCAAATATTCAACTACGTATATGCCTTTAATTTTAAACTTGACTGTTTCTGAAAGTTACTTTGTGTTTGAACATTTTTCAGCCAAATTGTCAAATAAAATTTTTTAATTTTTTTTTATGGGGGGTTCAAAGAAATCCATTAACGTTACTCGAAAAAAATGTACCTTTATGTTTAAGCTTTTCAGTTGGTACTCGTTAAGCAGGCTCTTGGCAACTTTTAAAATCTTGCCGTGCGTGTAGATAATTCCATCGTCAGTGTCATGGTGATCGTCGTCATGCTCACTAGCACCGTCGCTGTAATACCCATCTTCATTATCATCCTCGGTGTCGTCGTCGCGCTCTTCATGGTCGTCATCGTGCCAGATGTGGTCGGCGTCATCCAAGCTATCGTCTGCCTCCTCATTGAACGTCCCCTCTCCGTCCCCCAGCTTTTTCTCCCCGTCCACCCTTGCCTTCTCTTCCGTCTTCTCCTCGTGCTGGTCCGGCCCTTCCTGTGTTACTTTCTTCTCTCCCGCTTCGTTCTGATTTTCTTGTTCATCTTTGTCATCATCACCACCGCCGAAGCCGAACCACAGCAGATGGCGTCGGCGAGCAAGTCCGGGGCTGGCAGGTTTAGGAAATACCTCGCCGCCGGAAACTAGCACTTTTACTTTGGTCTCCAAGAAAGGGGATCTACAATAACAAGATATTTAGTCATCACTGGTATGAAATGAATACATTTATGCTTGCAATATAACGAATCTATAATGATTAAGCATAGTGCTTAGCCGTTGTATGACCTTGTTGACTTCTTTTTCAACCCTCGCTACAAAACGGGGCTCTCGATTTCGATGCTAATTTGAAATTATTTTATTTTCTGTAATTCAGAGTAGCGGCCTACTAAACGAATTAGTCCTATCTATGTGATGGCCGCAGGATCTCGGTTGAAGAGACAAAATTACGACCATCAAGGTCATGGATCAAGTCGGCATTTCCCCGTAAATTAAAGCTACTACTTGGTGTGGTAAACCTGTGCAAGCTCCTGCTCACAGCATCGTAGGCCTAGTTTAGGTCATAGATCAGGTGGCGCGGTCGGAGACTAAACCAAAACTTTAATACATTTGAAAAAGAACGGATAAAAAGCGTTTTATGGGATGTTTTTAATTTATCAGCACAAACCTTACATAATGTAAGTTTCCTTCTTGGACCACTTTCATGGGGCAATAGTAGAAAATATTGTTTAGTAAATGTAAATGCCAAGCAAAAACCAAAGGATGACATAATCACTTTTCTGGGCTGAGGAGCTCCTTCAAATTGGTCTTTAGGTACACAACAATTAACTTTTTTTTTACGGTGGACACAACAGGAGGGCACTATTTGGAGTCGGTAAATTTAGGTAAAACAAAAATAGGTTTTCCACTTCAAATATCTCCCTCCTATTATTTATTTATTTCTTATTTTAACTGGGTATCCCATTCAGTGGAATCCACTGATCTCCCATGGGTCCCAGTAAAGAGAAGACAATGTGAAGAAATTACAGTTTTAGAGGTGGGAGGAAAAGCCCAGAACGGAATCAGATAGGGACTGAAAACCCAAACCACCTTGACCCAGGCGGGATTCGACTCCGGGTCACAGCTGCCGAAGGCTAGGAAAGTACCGCTACGCCAACCTGACTCCCCTAAATAGGGGATTTCTCTAATAGGGGGCGGGGTTAACACATCTGCGTCTCCCTCAAGTCATGCTAACTGTTGCTTTATCCTTACCCATCAACAGTGGCTGGCTTGGGGTCTTGGCCCATGTGGAGGTACTTGGACGCGCCGTCCTCTCCCCCGTGTGTACCCTCCCCTTCGCGGTGCACGTAGACGGAGCCGTCCACGGACGAACCAGAAGCTGCATCGGGGGCACGGGGACCTGTCAGACGAGATCAGACTTTTTTTAGCAAGATTTTTAAAGATTTGCCCTGACTTATATAGCAGATTAAAATGCATTGGTTCACAGCATAGTGTCTAAAACTGGTGTCCATGATGTAAAAAATATTTTTTCAACATTTTATCCGTAAATGACATGAAATATACATTATACCTGAATTTTCTGTGATCCGGACCTTTGAAATACGGTTAGCAAATGAGACACTAACTTTTGGTGATCACCAGACGAAAGTGTGATTTTAATGGATGATCGGTAGGGATCAAAAAGCATGAACTTGAAAAAGGTGCAGGACGCTGGGAAATTATTAACTTGAAACTTGTGGTTCGAGTTGTAATCTTCTGTTAATCTCAATTTCTCAGAACAATTCCTCTCCCAGAATTTGTAACTTCATAATGATATTCGCCATACCATGTCCATCTCGCCAATCCGAATCCTGATATCATCATTTAGGCCTATATTATGCTATATAAGTTGCCCTATGTTAATAAACGCAAAATATCACGATTCGCAGTTTTGCGAAATAAAAATTATTACTATGATGCAGCATGATAAGCCACGTGTTTCAATTCATTTCTTTCCAAAATGGCAAAATAATTTTGTTTTGAAAGCTTAACTAAAATTCTTACCGACTGGAAGGCCGCTAGTCCCGCCATGGAACGCTAAGAGAACAAAGAGAAGAGATTTCATGGCGACAAATCGAAATGCTCGGCTGGAAAACAACATCACCGTCATTCTGTGTCTTTAATTTTGACGAATCTTCTCTTCGAGCTGAACTTTTTACCGCTATTATTGTTTCCACTATTTCTTGGTTGTCCAGTGTCTAAAGTTATGTATCCGCTTCAGCTAGCTATTTAGCATTTTCAGACAAACAATAAGCTAACAACATGCACAAATATTCTGAATTCGTCCAGATAGATTTAGCTATATGTACTCAACTCAGAAATAAAAACCTTTGGTGATGAGTGACTGAATTATCTTGAACAATAGACAATTTTGCGTCAGCTGTTGGTTCATTGTTCACAATAGAGCTATATAGCTGTAGGCAGGCGATTGATTGGAATTGTACATGCACGTGTTTTAAAACGGCTCATGTGTAACAGGTGTCGGGATACCGTGTGTATGTATGTTGACGTGAAAGAACAATACCAATAATTTCGTTTCCAAAGCATTTTTTGTTTTGTTAATACCCATTTGTTTGGTTTGTTGGTTTTGTTTGGGTCTTTTTTTATTGGTTTTTTTTTTGGGGGGGGGCTTGTTACTACTTGTCTTTTCCCCCTTTTTTTCATAGAAGGGAGGATGATATGCACTGAACGCTAGAGTCCATGATTTTTATATATTTGCGGAAATTTGCGAAACACATTTGATACCTTATGTGAAATGTAAGGGGTCTTTGGGTCGTATTCAGAAATGTGTGGAAATGGAGAAATTTTGTTTTCACAAGTGGCCCTTCCAGGCAATTTCCGGGGGTAGGGTGTCGGGTTAACAATATTATATTGTTATTCCTAAACCAAGTTAACCAAAAACTAAAATCGACTTGAGCAACGAAAATAAATCCGGCTTTTTAAAATACAGATCTTTAAGTTTTGTGCCCCCACAGAAATCGCCCCACCCACTTCGTCATCATACGCATTACCCGAGAAACAGGGCTCTGTGCATAATGTGCCACAAACAAACGAATTTACGATTGCCTTGAAAACAAGATGGCGGCCAGTATGGAAGTCGACGAAACTCCATCGACAAGCGGCGATGAAAGTGGTAGCGTCTCCGTCATGGCGTCCAGCGGAACGACGGGAAGTGTTTCCGTAGCTTTACATCCTCTGGTTATCATGAATATATCAGAGCACTGGACTAGAATACGAGCACAGGAGGGAAAACCGACCCAAGGTAGTGCTTCCTATCTCTCAAATCCTGCACTGCACTGCGTGCATTCTTCAGTGTGGCGGGGGGGGGGGGGGGGGGGGGGGGGGCTGCATTTATTATGTGAACTGGTTGGGTGATTGTGTAGTTACGGCCCCTCTTTCGTTATTATTAGTACTTTTTATCATTTAAGGAATGCGGAGCAACTATAGAATGTAGGGCCACGTCAGATAAAGGTTTTTTTTGTAGTTGGAGGCGATGTGAGGAGTAGTAAAGAGTCTTAGGCCTAGGCCTAGGGCCTACTCCTAGAACTGTGAGGCTCCGCATGAGCGGAGCCTCATAGATACAGAACTCCGCAAAATTGTTTGCAGCACAAAACACTAACTAAGAACAAAAACGTCCATCAAAACACAGACATTTCCCACAGTACCGCTGTACAACTTGCCCCTAAAGTAAACTCCACACAATACCTCATGACATACTAACGTAGGTTGCGCAGAACAAACATAGGTGGATTCTGTCGGTTTTTAGGCCAAAATGATGAAAAATATGCCCTTTCCGCAATGAGCCAACCTGACACTTGAAACGTGCACACAGAGATTAATATGATCGATCGATGATTTTCGGTTCGTTCAGAGCGCCCGCGGGGGGTACGGTACAAGCGAAATGATAGTAGCGCATGCGTACAAGTGTAAGTACCGTACCCCCCCCCCCCCCCGAAAGTCTGGATCGTTTCTGCTGTCAATGTCAGTCACATAGACTTGAGTCAAGGCGTACGTGGTAACCCGAACACGAAAAAAGACCACACGAGTGCAGTGGTCGCGCACGGAGCCAATAAGCCCCAGATTAATGTTAAATTTCAACATTTTTACAATGACGGATCTTTATGAGATATGATAGGCCTGTATGATATTTTTGTTGTGCAATCGCGAAGCCTCGAAAAACATCGTCTGAAATTGTGCTTGTGGATTTCGTCGATATTTCACTCCAAGGTGAATAAATCTAGGTTTAACTCTATAATTTATAATTCATTTAGCTTTTTTGCCAAAATTATAATTATTTTAAGTAATGTTAGGGATGTTTTACACTCAATCAGTGTATTTTTTTTAAGAAAAAAGAAGAAGATTCAATTGCCAAAGTGGATGATTCAATTGCCAAGGGATTTTTATGGCTTGTGTTGCGGGCCTAATATGTTCTTACGGGACCCATTTATGAACTGTTGATTCCCAAAACGTAAAAAAGGCCTCAGTTTGGATCCCAAGTCTTTTTTTTTGTTTTTCTTTAAAATAATGAGGACAAATAAATGGTAATGTTTATTATCGTAATATTAAATAACTTCATAAATATTCATCTGACAGAGATGTTTTATACATCATTTTGAAGTATTTTTAAGCCCTTTTCAATGATTACTATTTCATTTACATTACTCCCACTTGAAAAATTTAATTTCACATAACTACCTAATCAGTATCTGTTGGTAGAAATGCAATGTTCATGACATGCATTTTTCAGTTGATGCCATGTGAGTCAACGTGGTTAAGACGTTTTGCTTTTTTTCTGCACCCTCGATGCAAAATATGACTGTTAAAGACTGGAGTCCTATTTGTGTCTGTTGGCATGATGTGTGCATGTTCCTCTCATGCCAAGATTAACACAAAATGTCATGCTTGTTTTCCCATAGTTCTCGGGGCTATCATCGGCAAGCAGCAGGGACGAAACATTGAAGTGTTCAACTCCTTTGAGCTGCTCTTTGATATGGTGCATGGAGACATCATTGTAGACAGAGAGTACTACAATACCAAGGAGGAACAGTGTAAGATGCAGTGCATTCCCAGTACTTCCAGAACTGTAAGGTTTTACAAACCCTACTGCCAACCAGTAAGGCCTATTGAAGTTGCAGTGGGGAAAAAGTTTCAAATTTGTTTGTATATTTCCTAACTCCTGCCACGAACATGTCAGCCCCAGTATTTCATGTGTGTTATATTGACAGGGTCAGGTACAGACAGTCGTGTTTTACTCTACTCTCGGGGACAATGCTTTGTGTTTCCCTTTGTCCCTGTAATATAACACTCTCCCATAGACTAAGGACACAAACTTACTACAGAGGACTGTTTCCAACAAAAGACCCAACTCCCGAGGACTGAAAGGATCTGTTGTTCTCCCTTTGTGTGTCGGTCCTCAGGGGTTATGTAGAACACGTACCTAGGTGCTGGTTCCTAATCCCTGAAATGTCACACGAATTGGTGAAATTTACAACTATTTTGCTCATCGAGATCACAGGAATTTTGCAATTGGCCGACTGTCATCATTGGCTGTCCAAGGACACATACATGTAACCACAACCAGCAACCCCTCCCCTGCACTGCAGGAACCATGGTACTCCATTTTTTGTTTAACCCAAGAGCTTTCTTAGTTTGAATCTAACATTTATAATTCTTGTCTGGTTTCATCCCACACAGTTAAGCAGGTCTTCAGTGATCTAGACTTCTTGGGTTGGTACACCACTGGGGGACCCTGCGATGCCTCGGATATCAAAGTCCACAAACAGGTCAGATACACCGTGACAGTAGCAAACTTTTGCTTTGTTTCACATTGGCTTATTGGAATTAATGTGCACTCTGTTAAAACATTGCATTGCAGTGATGTCAGGTTGGGGAGTCAGGTTGGCGTAGCGGTACTTTCCTCGCCTTCCACCGCTGTGACCTGGGTTCGAATCCCGCCTGGGCCAATATGTGGATAGGATTTTCAGTCCCTACCTGATTCCGTGGATTTTCCCCAGAATGTCTTCTGGGGTTTTCCTCCCACCTCTAAAACTGTAATTTCTTCTCATTGTCTTCTCTCTAAGTTGGTGTGATGTTTCCCTGGGATGCTTTACCGACTATAATGATACAGATACAAATACAGATGTAGGACTGCTGTAATTTAGACCGCTCAGCCAAACATTTGAATTTGAGCATCGTCTTTTGTCTGCAATATCTATGGACATAGATATCTATTTTTTGATGGCTGTACCAAATGGACGATATGGTTGCCATTTTGGTATAGCATGTTGCATTTCATGAGGAAATGGAAGCCTTTGCATGTTGAAATCAGGAAAACACTTTCCATACTCACAAGCAAGGACTTGTTAACAGCTAAGGCAGGAGTGGCTTTGCCATACTATTCAAGCTCATTTTTTAAAAACTACTTTTCTGGCAGATTTGTGGAATTAACGAGAGCCCCATCTTCTTGAAGTTAAATCCATTGGCGCGACACATGGATGTAAGTACAGGCTCTATATGCTCTAAAAAGCAAGTTTCATGGTCCCATCTGAGTTAAATATAGATTTTGTAGCTCGTTCAACTTTTTCAACTATATGACAAATTGTAACTTTGAACTGCCCAGATGGCAAATGAAATACAGTGTTTCTGTATTGTATATCACATAATGTAGGCAGGCTAATGAGTAGTTATATAATACACATCCAGCACCAATACATTGGAATACTGTATGTTGGTTTCAATGGGCCACATTATATTACGCTTGTACACACCATGCAGTAGGGCAATAAACTACCAAGCTTAGAAACCTTGGGCCATATTCATGAAACCTTACTAACTTAGCAGCCAACTAGGCCTTAGTAGGATACTAAAATGCCTAGTAGTCTACTATGGAGTTGACAACTAAATTGTAATTCATGAAACCTTACTAAAAACCTTGCTAACTAGTTACATACTAGGAGAATTTAGTTGCATACGTGAGTAACTGGAATTGGGTGCTTTTGGATGGAGTGGGCATGTATGAAATGTGATGACAACATATACAATAGTGTGACAGGTGTTTTAGGCTAATCCATGTCCAGCACTTGCGTAGATTAGCAAAATATATATATATGTGGTGTAGTGTACTGCATGTAATTGAATCAACGTCTTATTCTCCAGCAGTTGTATATAAAGCTATCAGACATGGCTACGAAAAGGGCAAGGAAGGCAAATTATTTTCAAGAGGAGAATCTCTTTATGGCAGACAACAAGTATGAGGAATTAAAAAAATGTTATTCATGCTAAGCATAAGGATGTAAACACTAACAAGAAAAAGAAAGATGCATGGGCAACTATTCTCAGCCAACACCTTGCAAGATTTCCATTTTCCACAGGTTGAAAGATCATTGGATGATTTAAAAATTAGATTATCCAAATTAAACTCCGAGTCAAAAGAATGTCTGTCAAGTACGAGAAAGTCAAAAAAGGCAACCAGAGGGGGAAACCACCTAAGGAGCCAAGTCCGGCAGACAAAACAATGATATAGTTGCTAACTAGTGACTTAAAATTGCCCTGGATCAACACTAACTTTAGTAAGAAACTTGGAATATAACTAACGCTAGTAATGTTTCATGAATATCAATTAGTTACCAATCAGGCATAGTAAGCAACTACATGCCTTTTTAGTAACCAACTAGGCTTAGTAAGGTTTCATGAATACGGCCCCAGACCAATATTTTTTTCTAATATACCCTTGAAGAGTTGTACATTAAATGTTGATGGCAGCATTCACATAAATGCTGAGCAGTTTTCCACTCGTATGCAAGTGTTCATTACCATTGTGTTACCACTTCACATTACAACACGTATGTGTGAATTTGAAACATGCATCCCTCTTTATCTATTTCAGCAATTACCCATCAGCATCTACGAGTCAGTGATCGACCTTGTCAATGGAGAGGCCACCATGCTGTTTGTGGAGCTGCCATACACACTGGCTACGGAAGAGGCTGAGAGGATTGGGGTGGATCACGTGGCACGGGTCACCACCAGTGAGATCTCTGAAAGCTCCTCAGGTAAAGACCACAGCCAATTCTAACATAGTCTTGTTTCAAGTACCTGGCTGTAACCATTGACTGCTGTTCTTCATGGAATAAATGAATATTAACATGAAATAAAAATATCCATTGGGCATTTAGCTTACAAATTTGCCAATATTATTTCATTGTAAAAAGTTCTCAGCAAATGATCCCGTTTGAAAAAAAAAATTTGAATTTTACTTGAAATTCAAGGCCTGTATTTTATGCCACAAATGTTACACTGACATGCTCAATTCAGTTTTGTAGACAACCTGTAGTCTAGGTATTTGTGAGGGATCATCACAACTACCCGGTACATAACAAGTCTGGTCACAGTCCAGTCACAAGTAACAGAGGATAGCACCAACACAAGAATGCCTTTATCATAGTTCATTTGAATAGCTTGTGAGTTGACTTGGGACTGGAGGACTTGTGAGTCACTTGTGATGATTTGTGATGCATTACAAGTACCTTGATGACTGCCTCCTCCCCCAACAGTTCAAGAACAGCTGACAGCACAGCACAGTGCCATCAAGATGCTTCACAGTCGAGTCAAGCTGATTCTAGACTACGTCAAGGCAGTGCAGGCGGGTGAGGTACCACACAATCATGACATCCTCCGTGATGCTTACAGCCTCTGCCACATGCTACCAGTCCTCAGCTCTGAGAGATTCGACACTGACTTCTACAATGTAAGCATGCACGGAACAAATCTGAGGCTGCACTGTTATTCAACTTCAGTCGATCTTTCCTCACCTTTGAACATGCACAGCTGCAGTATTCTTGCATGACACTTTAACCCTAACATTCCCAAATCCTCCCAAATCCACCTTGGAGGATTTTGAAGGATTGAGGCTGTATGGCAAAATGTGTGGTTGATTTTGGAGGATGCATTGTGTCAAGATCTTAGGCCAAACCAATGCTTAGCTATGCCTAAAAATCATTCCCACTGCTCCAGGATACCACTGGCACTGCATCAACATATTAACAGCGATTGTCAGAGGATTTTGAAGGATTGAGGATATGGTCACCCCTCAAACGAATAAATTCAAGAAATAACAGATGATTTTGGAGGATCAAGGCTGTATCTAATTTTACATGGAGGCAGTTGGAGGATTTTACAGGATTGAGGATGCATCCTAGAAAAAAAAAGTGTAGGGGGGTGGGGTTAAAAAACATTGACAACTAATTGCACATTATCTTTCGCATTTCCGTCAGTTGTATTTCTTGCTACTCTTGTGTCTCTTGTACATGTGTGCCATTGTAATTTAGCACTATCAGTTTCATATCAATGTTTTCTATAATTTTGGCTTTTCCTTTACTTCTTATACATTTGTGTTCTTTTTCAGCAATGCAACGATGTCACCCTAATGGCCTATCTTGGGACGATAACCAAGGGATGTAACACAATCAACCAGGTGAGTAACGATCAACGTGGTTTAGGTTAGAGATAAACTTGGGACTTTCCCATACCTTGTGGAAAGTACCGTTTATGATAATACATTATGTAACAACTAGTCTTCCCAGGGGCGTTGCCATTCCAATTTGAACGGGGGTTGTTACAACAAACTTGCTGACAAACCCTCCGTGCTGGAAGATAGCCAGGATTTTTCCCGATCCCTTGGGCACCACAAAATAATAAAGTGGGTTGAGGTGGAGGCTGGTCAATACCTGACTAACGGGGGCGTTATTCAAAGTGGAGGATCTTGAGCAATATCAGACATAGGGTGGTCCTATTCGCAGCAGCAGCAAGACTTCATTTTGCCGACCAAAAAAAATAATAATTGGGGGATCTGAAACCCCCCCCCCATGCATCCTCCTAGTGATGCCCCTGGGTCTTCCTGGCTTTCTTATTTCCACTATACAAGTACATTCGTAAACATTTCCTGATTGTTATGACAAAGGTGTGTGTTCCCAATTAGAACTGATGGTTTGGGCTGTGAAACCTTCAAGTGTTTCTTGGTTTGAAACAAAGTCGTAAAGATCTGCTGCAAAAGTTGCAATTTCAAGTTGGTCCTTTGTACTGGAACAATATTCAATAGCAGGGACAACTTGTGGTTAAGTTTTCTATTAGGCAAATGTGGTCATTGGGATTGGTGATATCCCCACAATGTTTTCAGTCCCCATACAAATCTATTGTACATCTCTGGAACAAGTATGGTGAAAGATGTTATTGTAATTTTGTAAAGTGAAGCAAAAATCCCTCATATTAATACATGGACAAATGCACTTATTGCTCCAAGTCACATGGCAGTGTCACGTAGAAAACGGGGACCAATTTCACAGAACTGCTCCAGCACATAAAATGGCTAAGCACATAAAATATGTGCTAAGCATTAAGAGGATACCAGCCAAAATTGCATTGGATATTACACGTTTTTGACCGGTTCTCAGCTGATACTTGCTCAGCACATAATTTGGCTAAGCAGTATCCTCTCCTTAGCAGGCATATGAAATTGGGCCTAGATGTTTTCTACATTGTTTATCATTTTTTCCCCACTACAATACAGTCAATACAACAAAATCTATGTGAATTTGGTTAATTTTTTATTGAACATTTCTTTTTCTTGTTCCTAGTTTGTCAACAAGTTCAACGTGCTGAATGACCGGCAAGGAATGGGTCGACGTATGCGGGGTCTGTTCTTCTGATGTTAACATCCATGTATGTACATACACTTTCAAAAGCTACTTTCAGAAAAAGAAAGGAAAAAAAAAACCTGGTTGGCACTTTGTCAGAACTGCCGTTTAGTCTACCATTGGTGTACATTATTGCCAGGTTGTTCCCTAGAACCATGTTTATTTATGGAGTTTGTCTCAATCCGGGGCAAGTTCGTGCAAGAGCTATTGTTAATCATAGTTCAACTAAGTTAGCCCGAACTCTGTTGAGTTGACAATAGTTAGGCCGTGTCCGAAATGGGCTTCCAGAGCTACGGCTACGTCTATTGTCAGCGCGTCCCCGCGTATTTTCAATGGGCGCGGACCTAGACCTAGCTCTAGACAGTTGATTCGGATGCAGCCTTAGACTACGCTAGTTGACTATTTGGAACCAGCCTACTGGGCCTGGTCGCATCACTGGTTATCAATAGCCTCGTCTTGTTACTTAAGTGCAGAGGGAACCATGGACAAGAGATTAAACGTAGCAAGTTGTACGACCCACTGGTGGGCCTCGGAGATATCTTCCAGTTCATTCAACAGGTCAAAGAATGTAAACAATCCAAACATACTCGTGACCGCCCTTTATTGACAATGGTTCGACTAGAGTCGTTGGCACTTTAATGTTACAGCGCATGTGCACTGTTTGACACCAACCAACCATTGGTTGACTAATGATTGTTGCGCGAACTTGCCGATGGATTCAGTGCACACGCACTCCCTCAATGGTGAAAATGAAAACAGGGCTGAGATTGAAGGACGCTTGAGCGCCATTGCTGGGGTGTGTCTATACTTAAGTGTATTATTCACACATCCAGACACCACGGGTGTGTGCATATCACTGTTGAAAAAGTTGGCCAGTTGGTACACATCCATCATTCATATCATCCCATCACTGGCTCCCATGAGTAAGTTGCACAGCGCCACCTACTGGTATAGTTCCTTCAAGGAGTCCGTATAATAAAATGAAAGATTCGAGTATTTCCATTGGCTTTGAAAAGGAAATGATTCTAAATATTTGGGAAAGTTGTCCATTGTTTGGCTAGTCACGTGCTGTACTTGATAGATCTTGTGTGTGGCAGGTGTCTCAGAGAATATTCATTATTTTAATTTGTAATAGTGAAGCACAAAATGTGTACTCATGTCCATCTCAGCTATACAAAACTTGCCCCCTAACTTGGCCTTGACGCAAAAGGTCTATTAGGCTCATGTAAAAACATGGAAGCTGTAGCCATTGTAAGGAATATTTTTGTTTAGTAAACACTTGTAAAATCCAACTGTATTTGTTGTTCAGTTTTTATTTGGTGTCATGAACGAAATATATATAAAAGGGATACAAAAATGTTGGTATATCGCACAGTACACTAGCACAAATATAACATGAACGCTTTCTGTTTTCAAAAGTGTGTGTATTCATCTCGAGTGTAACATCATCACCGATGTTTAAAGTTGGCGTACATGTATATGCACAGTGAGTTAGGGTTATATTATGCATCATGCTGATTTCAGGACGAAGACATGTTAACACATAAAACCTGCTTTATCCAAAACAAAACGTACTTTGTACAAAGATTATATTGTGAAGTTCCGTCAAAATTGTCTGCCATTTGTAACAAGTTCCAATTTTCCTTTTTTTAATTAGGGCTTGGATATCTGAGAATAACAACCTGTGAAACTTAATAAATTTGTCATTTTCATGGCATGTATATAAAGTCTATATTTAGTGACTGAGTCTAACTGTTTATAGATACATATATAATAAAGAAATGACGCTAAATTAGCAGGCTTTCCGCAGAAATCTTAAAAGACATTCCAGGACTTTTCCATGACAAAAATGAGGGTTTTTCATGACCAAGTCCTACACTGTTTTGGCATCTTAGGAGCCTAGGTCAACACACTGGCCGGTCATCACACCGAGGCAAGGGACGCCACTCCCTTTCAGCCTTCCAGTTTGACACAAGACCACTGAGCACCACAAAAGCATCACAATGGTGCACTGAACATGCAGCAAGTACAGAGCATGCATACATTTATGAGGAAGTAGTAATAACTGGAATGCTAACTGGAAGACTGCAAGCGCCAAATATTATGCATCATGTGTGGGTTGTGCAGGTTTCCATGACTTTTCTTGGAACATCAACTTTCAATGAGCCCTTGTAAAATAACAAAATTCCATGACTTTTCCAGGATACCTATAAATTCCAGGATTTTTCCATGACCATGGGAACCCTGAATTAGTGTACATTGTAATTTGGAGAAGGGAAAATCTATTTAACTTTATGACTTTGTCACAGTTTTGAATAAAACACTGTACACAACTACAACAATTTTACACCAAAATATATTAATTTATTCCACAAAATTTTATGTACAAAATATATAAACTCATTTCTTACTGTTCATTTTCACAAAATACAAAAAAAACCCTGTCCAATACAGTATTTGCAATTTATTATTAGAGTTTGGTAGTACAATCGTCCTGTTTACATGCATTAAAATAACTTAACAGTCTTATTTATATTTAGTGTTGTTCATTTACATAGCAAATTTTGATCAAATTCAGAAAACAGACTATTGTACAAAAGTACAAGGCACAATCACAGTAAATCATACAATTACATAACAACTTGAATGGCAATTACGAATTAAGCAATCATGAAATTGCTCTCAGTTTTTTTTTTTTCAAGTATCACAAGCACACATTGTTACAATATTTCATTACACTCACAAAACACATAAATCACTAATGTAAGCAAACATTCTCAGATCAATTTTGACTGTTTAGTTTGTTAAAGTAAATTCATTAAGGAACTAGTTCAGTTAATAATTATGCATTGAAAATTGCGTGTCAGGGTATTTAATCCTTTGTACAATAAACCTTTCCCCATATTTTTGAAATATTTTTCATTGAAATTTACAAAACCTCTGCTCTAGTTATTGCTTATAAGGGTTTCTGCACGTCTGTTTTAAGAGTTGTCTGGTGTGAACTTCCATTTTAACAATTTATACAAAACATACAAATACACTCAAATAAATAGAGAGACATTGTCTGGTGTTTTTTGTTCATACAAAAATAAATAGTACACGCAGCAAAATATATACCATGGTTTGCCATTTGTTCAAACCCTTAATGAAGGCTTATATGAATGCATTCATGTTGAATAACGTATTCTTGACTTTTTTTAAAATTAATCATGAATATTTGTAACTTATGTAAATGTCATACAATGTTTTTGCATGCATTCTGTCAAATCAGTCATGAATATTCATCACAAATAAATGTGTATAGGTTATGCGCATATTCATTGTCCCGCACGGACTCACCTGATCTGGCCTACAGAGAGGGCGTGGCTTGTGCGGGTCTTGCTTCCTTTGACTGATTTCTGCTTGGCGCCGATGCTGGTGAAGCAGGACCAACGTCTGAGTGTCTCGTCTCCCGCAGCCGACATGACGACCGTCTGGTCAGGTGACATGCACATGGACAGGATCCGATTGGTGTGACCTATGGAGAAACAGAAACAGGCCTGCAATGATAATTGGTTTATTTGATAAATCAATAGATCAATCCATCGGGCTCCACCCACTCCATGTATGGGAAACAACACCTGTGCCTCCTCAATGCCACACTGCATGTGCCAACAGCGTGTGTCATACACATGTCCATGCATGTCACATTTTGTGCATGCATATCGGACATTAATAACAGTTGAAAAAAAATGTTGCTGTTTTCACTACTTGCTTCCTGAGACGGACATGCTGCAATGAATAAGGTTGGCATGTGGGGCAGCAGTAAATAGTTGTTGTGTACCAGAGTCGTGCTTATTACGTCACAATTTTTGTGATTTCATGAAGTTGGCCTGAAAAACCCGACAGCTGTTGATTTCAATTATGTGCTAACCGACCAACAAAATACATGCGCTGACCAACAAAACACTTGATGATTTTCAATTTTTTGTAATATATAGCGGCGCATTACAAAAAAAATGGGAGTGTGTCATTATGCTGTATATGGGTCTACTCTACAATAAAAAAAAAATTACAAACAAAAAGACGGTCAGCATTCAACAACCTCTTCAACGCGCAGGCGTAAGATATGTCACTAATAAACTACTAGTAAACTAATGGTCCTCCCACACACATGCTCAAGATCATACCTTTGAGGTCGACAACGCGTTGCATCATGGGATACTTCCAGATACTCAGCTGGTATTGTGCGTAACCATGGCTACTGATCAACTCCTTGTATGCTGAAGACCATAGGATGGCACTCACCTAATGCACACACATGAGTCACATTGGAAGTCATCGGTATAGGGATGTAAATGCATTTCATTCATTCTTTCAAGTAATTGTAGATTCTTCTGAGCAGCTGGTTCAAAATCTGTTATGCGATCAGGCTGAATGAGTCGTTTGTCGGGAATTTTCATTCGGAGATTCAGGCCAAAATAGGACCACTTCACATATCTTGGTGTTCCGACTTTCATAATTTTTGAACTAAAGATGGTATCAGCATGCGGTTTTCACAGCAGTAATGCTGAGATTCTGCTCTTTTCAAATCTGTTAAAAAAAAAATTGGATTTTTTGACCGAAAAGGTATTTACTTGTGTGAACCGGAATAAATGTGTGCTTGGCCAGTATTAAACACTATATTTAAGATCGATTGGTGTCTGGATGCTGATAATTACCCTTGCCTTCGGCTCGGGTAATTATCAGCATCCAGACTCCAACTGGTCTTAAACATAGTGTCCAAAACCGGCCAAGCACACATTTATTCCCTTATTGATTTGCCTTGAAGTTTGTGAGGACCAATTATTGTATTTTAAATTTAAACTTTGTATATTCCTAATTTAGCATTGGAAATCTGATTTTTAGACCTGACAAAATGCGACATATTACACTGATACAAGCATTTTGATTTCAATTTCTTTAGCCCCGTGATATCCCCATTAAGAACGTGATTAAGCACCAAACAAACTTTACAGTTTTGATCTGCATTTTGATGAACTAGGTCATAGATTTTTATAATTTGGTCATGGAAATGCCACAGAAAAGTCATTTTTATTTTCCTAAAGGTTCAGGAACAGTGTGAATGGGTTGCCATGCCAATTGCAGGTTTCTCCCCAGCAAACTTGGCAGTTAAGTTTTGCTAGGTCAATTTTTATTACTGATGATCCAAAGGGCATTTTTAAAATGACATTAGGAACTGCTGAAATACACTGCTTTGTCTTCCAAATGGGGGGGGGGGGGGGGGGGGGGTGTTCATTATAAAGGCCTATGGAAGGACAGCCTAGAGTCCTTACCTGTGATCCAGTATCCACACTGTTCAGACACAGACCGGTGTTGGAGTTCCAGAATCGGATGGTGCGATCTGCCGTCCCTCCACCGCTGGCTAGGATGTTTGGTTGCCATGGACACCATGCCAGGGCCTACATCAAAATATGCAACATTTAGTTGAAATATGTGGTTGGTCAACAATATTTGATATGACCATGCATTTGCCACAGGTAAGATGTAAGTACAGACTGTACTACTCCAACGACCATAATAAGTAAGAAGCCATTTTACCAAGATGCCAACTTTGAGATGAGCTAGAAAGCAAATTAAAAACATTACACCCCTAATTTTGGGATTTATGTGGAAAACATGGAGGAGGATAATTTTCATCCTAGTTCGTCTCAAGGTCACGTGATCCACAAGGTCAAATTCAAGGTCAAAGTGAAGGTCAAAGTGGAAGTCAAAAGGTCATTCTTCAAATTGATTTGACTTGCAAAATCATGGTAAAGTTGGATAACTTATGATGTTGCCTTTCCAAAGAAACCAAGATCAACAAATTTTGCCTTCAGGTTATGGAGATATGGTCATTTGAAAATTGGTGGCCATGCCCATTTTGGCCAAAATCACAAAAAAATGGTGGGCGGTAGCGCAAAAACCGTTGGTCCGATTGCACTGAAACTTAAAATGTCAGTTTTTTTAGTCTAAATTACCCCCATACATTAAATAGGAACCAATTTGAAGGCTTTGGGGTTCAACCCATTGGGTGATTTGACACAGAATGACCCTATTAATAACTTGTGCATTGTGGCAAATTGTAAACACCTTATCAGACAAAGGAGCACGAGTATGCACCTTACTAACAGCTTGTAATTGTGGTCATCATGGCTCTGCTTATCGCAGCAGGAAATTCTGTGCTTACGATTAGCATATTTCATAGGTTAGCCAGGAATCTTGGCTTATGCGCGCATGCGCACATCCTGTAACCTAAGATTCTGGGTCAGCACACCATTTTTTACCAGCACTGTTAGCAGTAGCACAAAATGACAATCCTCAGCACGGAATTCTGTGGTTAGCAGAATCGTGAAATTGGGCCCAGATTAGTCTAGATTGGTAAAGTCAGTGACTTTTTCTATCTCTCCTTGCCCCTATGTCAGTTAAAATACCAAGTCATTGAGAAATTTCTAGTTCTATCATCATCTAAATATCAGATCATTACAGTAATTCAGGATGTTCTATTTGTGTCCCACACAAGAATCTGTGGGACACAAATACCACATTAAAGTCAACATGTTCTCAAGCATCAAAAGGTGTTATTATTATCTGAAAAGTTCACCTTGACTGCAGCCTGATGTTGTGTCAATGAGTGCACAGGGGCCGTTCCAGCCGAGGCGTCCCACATGCAGACCAGGTTATCGTTCCCCCCACTGGCAAGGTATTGGCCATCAGGGCTCCATTTCAAGCTGCAGATCTCCTGGGTGTGGCTGTCTAAGGTAGCCACTTGGTGATCAGCCACGCGCACATCATGCTGATGGATCTTACCCGAACGGGATCCGCTTCACGAGGGAAAACAAAAAGAACACTGAAAATAGAGATCTTTCAACTTTGTTCTCCCATTCACCAGATGTCACCCTCCTGAGGACGAACAGAGCACACTGTCCGAAACGTCGAGTTCTACACTCAACCAACCGGGTTTTTTCCAGAACCACACTTCTTCCAAGAAGAGATTACTTTGCACATGGTGTTACACGCAATCTTTCTACTTTATCCTTTATTCATATATTAACAACCTTGTTGAGCGCTGTGGTCCAATGGTTACGGTGTTCGGCTCACTTGCCGAATGGTGTTTGTGTTCTTGGGCAAGACACTTTACTACAATTGCCTCTCTCCACCCAGGAGTATAAATGGGTACCTGTGAAGGTAGAGACCAGATTGCGCTGATCTCCAGCTGCTGCAGAAACTGGTCTAATGGCCTGATGAACAGGGGTAATAATTGTGAAGCCCTTTGAGACCTTTGGTATAAAGCGCTATATAAGCACTATATTATTATTATTGTTGAACTCACTACTGCTAAAATCTGTTGTTTTCACATCAATAATTTCTTTCTAAAGTGGTTCCTTCTTAACACCAAGTAGAAAGAACCCAGTTGAATATTGGATGTATTTCATTGTACATTTCAATGTTTTATCTCACTCATTGCTTTAAATGTGTTTTCTTCTACTTTTAGTGAAATGGGCAGAAATATATCTTTCAGATGACAGGAAAAGTTTGTTCAGATTTTCTGCGTTCAATTCAATTCTAATTGTGCCTATACAGACTAAATTTCATATCCAATGTTTTTCTTGCTACAGTTGAGAGAAAATAATGCCATTTTTCTTTTGGAAACTTTGATGCTAAAATTATTAAAGGCTCAGCATGCAGACATGCATGGGTAGAGCTCAACCCATAATTTCTCAGGATGGGAAAGCATAACCAATTAAGCTTGAAGGAGTAAACTGAGATTCTTGCAAGGATTATACCTTGTTGTTTCTCCTGCAGGATAGAGAATATTTATCTACTATTGGATGACTTTTTTTTTATGCAAGAATATATTACACTCGCTATAACAATATTGCACAAGTTGAAGACGAGTGCAATATTATTATAGCAGGGGCAATATATTCTTGTACCCCCCAAAAAGCCATCCGATATTCATTTTATTATTTATATCAGACTGACTTGATCACTGTCTTCATTTCTCAAATTTCGATGAATATTCTTCGCTCACCGAAGCAAATTTTGCGCCGCTTGAAGCTGCCAGTGTGGTTGACAAAAGTGCATGTAAACCTTACTGTGCACTGCATCCGCAAGCGACGGTACCGCGCGCTACGCTCTGTTGAATCGTTGACAACTGTGAGTTTCTACGCTCTTGACTGTGCGAGAATTAGCACAATGTGTTAAAATACCCGTATGAGGACAGTATCAAATATAATATTGTCCTCATCCGGGTACTTTTACTGACATAATGTTTCAGTCATCCGGCTACTTTTTACAAAAGCATACAAATACGCTGATTTATTTTTTACCACTGGAAGCCTGATATAAATAATAAGTTTTTTTTACAGACACCATCATATTGCAACTACATGAAGACAGTATATTATTCACAATTGACCATGACCAAATGGCATCTGTTAGACTTACCTTGATAAGATGAATTCATTCCAAGACAGTGAGCCTATGCGTGCAGCGTGGCCGCCCATGGTACGCAGGCACTTAGTCTTCTCAACGTCCCACAACTGTACAAATCAATCATGGCAAGATATGGTGAATTTACGAGCTTGGAGAAAACAGTCTGGAATGACAATCCAGACTCCAATGATTGCAGTTGGGCAGCAGCATTCTCTCCAGCTAGCAAAAGATTCCTGGCCCCAACTTGTAATTCTGGATACTTCTTCTGACAATAATGGGCTCTACAAAACGCTCGGAACATTTAAAAAAGACTTCTTTTTTTAGTGAAGTCCATGCAACAGAAATCCCAATACAAATGGGAGCATTGTGTGTATTCATATCTCTTGAAATGTTTCTTTACGCACACTTGAGTGTATATCTGTTTTGAACAGAGCCCCCTGCATTATTTTCCTGCCCCAAACCCTGCTTATCAATATTTTCATACCACCCACTAAACATAAATTAAAAGCATGTAGGATCATTTGTATTTAAACCCATAAAATTGTTATCAAAAGGCTTACTTGGAATTAAAAATCGTATCGGTACCAAACGCCCCTTGAAATTATTCCGTCTGGCTTGCTGTCATTAACAGGCAGAAGAAAGTAAGAAATATAGGCAATTTCCAACAATCAGTCAATTGACTGATATTTGAAAACACAGAGTGCTATGGACGAAATTGATTCCATCACAAGTCCCCACAGTAGGGCTGGATAGCTCAGTTGGTAGAGCACTGGACCGGCAGTCCGGAGGTCGTAGGTTCAAACTTTAAGACATTTAAAGAGATTAGCATGCCTTTTGCTGTGCTTACTGCTTACAGACTCTGTGATATAGACAGAGGCTCTGTTAGCGGAAAACTATGTGCTTATCAGTGCCATGACATCGGGCCAATGTTACTCCCTAATATACTGACCTGTACTTGTCCCTGTGAGTTGCCCAAGGCCAGGATGTTCCCCTCCTTGATCCAGGAGACACTGCACAGATAATCCTCAGCATCTTCTAGCGTCATCAGGTGCTGTATGGTCCCATCGGAGGCATTCCATATGTACACCTCATTTTCCAGAGCTACAGCAACCATGTTCCTGGCACCCCAGTCTACAAGATTCAAGTCTGTATAGATGAAATTGGACAAATGCGTGCGACAATTATTTCAAATATGTGACCTGTTTACACAAACTTACAAATTCAATTGCCATAAAAAACACCAAAAAACAGCCCACCCCAAAACAATGAGCAAAACATGAGCTTGTTAATTGTAATACTAAATACACGGCAGTGATTTTTCTTTATGATATACAGTACCCACAATTTACTATACGTCATTTGAGTTGTTCGAAAGATCTAGCAAGGTTAAAGAAATTGGATAATTTATTTTACTTTAAAGTGATTTTATCATCACAAAAAAAAAAAAATCACTTTTTTTTAATATAATGACAGAGGGTACTATTTATGTTTTCTCCGGCCCTTCATAACTAACAAGTAGATTACTTTACATCTGGCTTGTTGCGCCTTTAAAGTTAAAATGCAAGAATCTGCCACTAGGTTCCATTTCAATATCGCTCACTGAACTCAGCAGGTGAGATGTGATGAGATTGGGTTTCTTACAGAAGTCATTTCTCAGCCCCGGTGCATCTAAGATGTTATCAGGAGTGCTTGAGATGTAGCGGCCTGCCTTGGCTTTCACTGTGCTGTCACTCTTAGAGCTACTGTACAATACCTTCAGGTTGTTGTAGTAACCTGAATGCACACACAAATTACACAGGTTTTTAAATAGTGAACTTGTTCATTTCAACAATTAAAAAAAAATTAAATAAAAAGGTCAAGAGAGGAATTTAAACACATGCCTGCTGGAACATAGTCTGAGTATCACTCGTTATCCACAGAGCCAAGTCTCACTGTACAACGTCTGATATGTCAAAGCATGCAGATTTATGCGATTCGCGACTCAGCCAATCGGAGTCGTCTTTACCAAACTGTGACGTCACTTCATTCCCAAATCAGGACTAAAACTGTGATGAGTGTGATTGGTCAATTCGTATGCAGTGTTTTGTTGCGTGACATAATACAGAGTGCGTGACCACAGCCTTTGTTGCTGTGTCTAGCGGTTGTTTTATTTATCGATGTCTAGATACAACAGCGGGTGAATGACCGAAGACCCGACATAGAAAGCGCCCACTGATTGGTCAAAATCTTGAGGTCAAGATGCGGTCGTCTTGCATAATTAGTCAGCAAATCTGTTAAAAAATTATAGACAATGGCTTTTGTCCTGCATGGTCTATTACATAGACTAGCTGGAACACTGCCCCGTTGCTCATCCACACTAAGCTATGTCAGCATTTTACTGGTGATATATCTCTCATTTTTAATTAGCTTCGGCAGAAGTTATAAACCCATGAGGTACAATAATCAGTTCTTCACAAATAACACAAACAACAGATTGGACACACAAAAACCAGTTAAACAATTACAGTGACTACCAAATTGAAAAATGAAAGCATGACAACATCAATCAATTCAATTTTTTTTTATACAACACGGCAAATAAAGCAGAAATTTAAAACAAGATGTGTAGGGGTGTGCATTTATGGGTAGTATGGGAATAGGGTACCCGATTGAAAAAAAGAACATGGTTACCCAGGTACCCATTGAAGAACCCAACCCCAAAATTCAAATTTCAGAAGTTTCTGTACAGATCTGTTCATAAGGTAAAATCTTAGTGCCATTCTAAGAAATCTCCTAAATAATTCTCGTTCTCACTTTCTGAAATTCAATATAATTTCCAGATTTTCAAATTTCCCATCATACACACACAGACACACCCACACGTACGGTATACCAACCTTCCTGGGCCTTGGGTGCCTTCTGCTTAAGCGTCAGGATTTTAGCGTTCTCCGTCGTTTTGCCTGTCAGCATCTCTGAGAGGGCGCTGTTGTAAGCCTTATCCTTCCCATCATCCCCTTCTTCTATCTCGTCTGTGTTATTGATCCGAAAGTTGCTGAAGTCTATGTCCATCAGGGCACGGTTTGGGATGAATCTGTGTTGGAAAATTATAGAAAGAAATGACAGAATCTTGATCTGTTTTTAAGAGTCATTTTTTTGGGGGGGGTTACCATATTGTTTTGAAGAAACAAGACTAATACAGGATTAAAGTGGCATACCCATGCTCTTCAAAAAGTTGATTTTCAAATTGTATGTTTTTGATTATAAAACGAAAAAAATACTTTATTGCGATTTTGGGCGTCTGCAACCCTATGAAAAAACGGCTTTCATTTTCCACACAAACATCGACTATCCAACCGAAATAAATATTTGTTTTACTATACCTCATACATATACCTCATACATAACATATTCAGAGAAACTTGTCCAGCTCTCCAGAACAATATTGCTCAACCTCAGAAAAGTTCAGTTCTTTTGCAATACAGTAATTCCTAAGAGATTCTAGCGCATCGTGGAAACTTTTTTAGTTCACAATATTCTCCAGTTCGGCATCATTGAGCTTGGGAAAATGGTGATGAATATTTATGTGTGCCACCATCTTTTCATGTTTAGCCAACTGTTTACGTACTATACCCATGCAATAGTTCCACGATTGCTTCGTAAAGCACACGGGTTACATGTGTGATAGTCTACTACACATGCGTATTTACCCTGTGCGTGAATACTCGTGTGCACTTGGTAAACAGCAGAACTAGCAGCTGACACGTGATGGTGAATGGACTACCAGTGAGAACTTGGCTCTCGATCATGAATATGTATGAGATATAGTAATGAGTAATAGACGTGGTTTTTTACGGTTTCGGGAGCTCAGTGACTACAGGGTTAACATCAGGATCTCCTGACCACAGAGTACTTTAAAGTTACAGTCCATCATTTGCAACTATCCTAAAAGTAACTGACGTAATTATTGTTGAAAAGCATACTTGGTTGAAAGATAGTAAGGGAACTAAACTCCCTGTGAATTTATTATTTCTGGCATACGTTATTTTGAAGAAATCAATGAAAGAAGGCCTTTTCAACGATGCGTCTGGAAATCGTTGGAAATTTCCGTTTTTTGTTTCGTAGTTTGTTTTTTTTATTCGGCGAAACGCACGCAAGTGTTGACATGACACACATGTTTGCATGGTTGCTATAATTCCTCGCATCAGTGCGCGACATCGCATAGCTGCAATCGGCTGAGGGAGAACGTGTCTAGAACGCTGAATTTAGGCCCAATTAATTGATTCAGCAAGTTTTGATTTGAAATCAAGATCCTAGAATGTTCATGTTTTTCTCGAAATATACAGCTGAAGCTGAGCTGAAAGTTCATCAGGTTAGTTGTGAAGCACCCTTCTTTAGACTTTGAGAACTTTTGTTGCTTCAAACGAATAAAATGCACAAATTACAAATGATGGACTATACCTTTAATGTAAAATACATGTACATGACATGTATTTTTTTGCTGGTAAATATTTTCGCTGAGTAAAGCTAAAAACATGCTTAGCGTCTCTTGTAAATTGGCCGTGTTCTTGTGTAGGAAACAACTGTGCTCCCTGGGTCCCGGCTCAACAACCTCCATAAACTCCCTACCTATCTCCCTGGTTGCTGGGCGGCAAAACTGCTGATGTAGGGGGCTTGCTGCTGGGGGTCTTGCTTTGCTTATTGCCTGGTGTCTTCCCTGGGGTCTTGCTGGGTGTCTTGCTATTGGTCCCCCAGAGGGAGGTGTCTGTCAGTGGGGTGCGTTTTGGGGTCTTGGAGCGTGAGAGACTCATGGGTGCCGGGGATGTGGGGGACCAGCAGTAATTGGAATCTAAAAACAAAGAATTGGGGCAAAAATTAATACACATGGTGTGGCACACTGTACTGAGAAATGTTCCAATGGACTCTGTACACAAATACCCCCTCAAAGGTGATTTAAGCCCAAACTAAGGCAATGGTCCCAACTAAACTTGGGACGGTCCCAACTAATGATGAGACAGTCCCAATAATAGTTGGGGATTCCTAACTATAGTTGGAACTGTGCAGTTGGGACGATGCCGCAGTTTGGACAATGCAACAGTTGGGACGTAACACTGCACTCTTGGCCACTGTGTGCCAGATGCCCACACAAAGAAGCAACAAATGTGTGCATATTTCGTTGGGTGCCTACCGGTATTTGTGTATTTTTCATGGTAGTGGGCCCCCTAGTTGGTACTATGCCCCCCCCCCCCCGGATGCTCAGGGCTGGCGACGGGCCTGCCTGAATGTTCGCAACCCCCTAACCTACTGCCTTAAAAATAATATAGGTTTCGGCACATTCAGATAAAGATTAATTTTGTGTACTACACGTCGTATTCACAAGTAGGCCTACTAGCATTAATGTCAAATTCTTTTTTACTTAATTTTTTTTGGGAGGGGGGGGTGGTCATTAATTTTTGGGAGAGTTTTACATAGGTATGATATTGGTAAGGACAAAATATCTGAGTATACCTCTGCGTTCCATAGCTTTCCTCTGCCAGCGGGGAACCGGTGCCCGTAGCAGTGGACCATCTAAACGCACCAACTCACTCACACTAGCCTCAAACTGGAAATGTGCCATCTTTCAGTTCACCTGCACAACGAGAAAAAATGGAATGATGATTAAGTTGATAATGATATGAAATGACCAGTGCAACGTGTTGGCTCACAAATCTTTTCACATGAGCTGATGAGGTCGACGTCGGAGATGCTGAAAAAAACCCACTTTTTCAAGAACTTGATCCCGAATGCCAGAGGAAACTCAGCCAAGATCTTCAAAAATATATTGAGTAGAATCTGAATGAATGTTTCATATCCGCTCGAGTTGGGTATCTCGATAAACTTCCTCTCCCGGTTGCATACACTAGCCTATGCCGTCCGGAAACACGTTTTCCATTTTTGATCCAAATTTTCGCGCGGTTTGAAAACGCCAATCGAGTTCCAAAATTAACAAAAAGAACAAAGTTCAAGGCTTTCCGCGGACACTCCAGTGTTTGCCTGCCTTTATCAAACCATCAATACAAGATGTAAAGAACACATTTGTTTATATCAAAATCCAGGATAAATACTTGAAATTAGAGGGCAAAGTCAAAAAAAATCCCCGCAACAACGTCTTCACTCAGTTCATGGAGTGATTAACTTGAACAGAAGTACGCCCTCTCGTGTTTAATTTATTCAATTATCCTATTATTCCCTGACGTCTTTCTACCTAATAATACACGATTATATTAATGTACGTGTCACAGACTAGACTTCTGCGAAAACAAACTACGCCGTGTAGGGTGAAACTGAAACTGCAAGGCTGTTTCTACAGTTTCTTTGCGACTCGACTGTGAGCATTGTTTATCTTGCTGTCTACATGAGTACATCGCGCTGACACTGACAACGTTTGTTTTTTATTCACGCGATTTCCAATCATCTGGAGCTCGTTGGTTCAGGTAACAATAACACACTTGCTGTCAACTGTCGACTGAAACCGCACCGGCCCGGCGAATATAATCCGGAAGTCTTGCTGAACCATTTCTTTTTTTTTTGGGGGGGGGGGGGGGGGGGGGTGCAAGGGGGTTGCAAGGGGGGGGGGTTGTGTACCCAATGTCGGTAACTAGCAAAATAATAGTCATTTCAGCTTCATGTCAGAAACTTTCAGGATATTCATGTCTGTGTGAGCAAACAGAAATATATACTTTCGGATTATTGTTTTTACTACTCAAAAAAAAAAGATCGTTGTGCAAATCCAATGTGTTTTTAAGCGAAACATGCAAGAGCGGATCGCGCTGTGTCAGTGGTGCATGACAGCATTCGCTTGTTGGTCAGTCGAAGATTGACAGTGTGCCACAGCTATCATAGAACATATTAAGACTACGTATTAAAGTTTTTTCCTTTAATAAAAATGAAAAAGTAGGCCTATTGTCTAAATGCGAAATAGGAAAAAATATTGCAACCTGTGACACCACTTCAGCGGTTTTGTACAAAGTCTATGGGAAGTCAAGAAAACTTTCTAAGTATATCCTAACAAAATTGGGAATGTTTCTAAGTCCCAGATTCATGTCTTATCATCATTTTTGCAATGACTGACCTTCATTGAGATAATATTATACAAATATTGAGTGGCTCGGCGTGGAATGGGAGGAATATTATCGCAAGGTAAAATCTGGACTTTTCCATTTCACGAGGCGAAGCCGAGTGAACTGGAAAAGTCCAGATTTTACCGAGCGATAATATTCCTCCCATTTCACAATTAAAAGCCACTCAATATTTGTTTTATATAACTGACATATAGATCCTTGTCATTTGATATATTTGAACTTTTTTTCAATACAAAACTGGAGGAAAATGTATATCTCTCTTCCAAACCACCCCTTCACGAAAATGTTTGAACCCAACGCTGTAGCGCTGGCTCTTTGGAACAATACGCGCTACGCGCAACGCTGAACGCGCACACCAGCATGCATTTGCACACAAATACCGCGTCATGATCCTAACTGTTGAATAGTATTTCCCATTCCCCATGGGCGGATAGTACTTTTTGAGCCGCGGCATGAATGGGAGCAATAATGAATGCCACGTGATGTGAATTCCACCAATCAAATGACAAGGATCTGTATGTCGGTTATATAAATGAAGATAGAAAGTGGCATCAGGTTGCAATTTTTTTTCAATGAAATATCTCCACTTCTGGTCATCCAATTTAAAAAATATAAAAAGTTCTCAATTTCTGAAAGCCAGCCTGACACCTTGAAAGTAAATCCAGGTTCAATAAGAGCCAGAAAAAAATCACAGAAAGTGCCTTTTAAGAATGACTGATCTGTTTGAAATTTGGTAGGCCCTATCAATAATAGCTTTTAGGAAAAATCAGAGTAAAGGCATAGATATTGTCCCTTTCTCCTTCTCAAAGTGCTTTGTACTTTGTAGCAAATGTGAAAAATCAATATGTGATGTTTGTGATAAGCCAAATACAGTGCTTTGTTCAGGTGATTGTCTTAAAGTTAAAAACTTAGATTCACAAATCTCTGTCTTTCTGATTAGTTGTTCCCGTTTTTCCTTCCTTCAAGCTCCAATTTTGGAGACAGAAAAATCTAGGTCTGACTTATACATTTCACAGCATGCTGCAGCATTAATAGTGCAACAGCAATGGTGGAATGTTAAATGTGTCCTAAAGTTGGCGCACATAATTTCTTACAACCCAAATTTCCTGAAACTTTCTCGTCTGGAACAAGTGGGCAATTGCAGACATTGTTCAAACACACACAAACATGTGTGAGTGTGTAACCATCGGCAATCGTGGACCTAGGACAAAAGGGTTAGGGCACAAACAATATGTCTACGATTGACCGATAGTCCACGTTTGAAGTTCCTGTACAAAACCAATGAAAGTTGTTGCAAAAAGAGTACAAACAAAGGAATGAGGATTAGGGATAATGGGGAGGAGGTCCACGATTGCTGGCATTTGCAAAGATGTGTGAGTCTGTTACATTTGTTTCTGTCATTCTGTAAATCTAAATTTATCACAAAGAGTTGGAGGAGAGAATGATGCAGATTGCCTGCAGGTTGTGTTGTACATTGAATGTTACAATTGATTTCAATTTTTCTAGCATTTTGATGTCCGCTTGTAACGGTCGTCCTGGATGGCTCCCATGAAGGATCTGGACGGTGTTTGGGGAAAGCCAACATCAACCCTAGATTGGTGTGAAGTCAACTACGTTGTCACCCCGTACATTGCAGAATTCTGTAAGTATTCAAGGACACCATTATCATGTTTTATCCCAGACAAGACTTACTGGTGATAAGGGTTCAAAATCCACATTTGGTTTATGGCCATATGGGTCATTGATAAATGTTGGGTCCACATTTTATAATTCTGATGCACTCTTTAATCCTCCAAGAGTGATTATGAATTAAACTACCTACCCAACAAATATGAAGTCATTCTTAATGATACTTGAATGGCAATTTACAAAGTACCAAGGTAACAGAGACAGGAAAAATGTCACACTTTGGACCCTGAATTTCAAGAATGACCGATATGCCTGTGGGCAAATTAATGATGTGGTTTATTTTTGAGAGTTGGATTTGAGGCCATTGTCTTGTCAACATTGACTGCCTCACCAAACACTAATCGCTCCAGCCTGTGGCAGGGCTGCCAACTTTGAGTAAGAAGTAGGGGAGAAGGGCGGATACCAGACTTTGCCATAGGTCTGGGGGTAGTACAGGGCCAATGGGGAGAGGGGCAGGTACCAGACTTTATCCCTCCCCCTTTCCCCCACCCTCTGGCCACGCCCCCACCCCACCCGCCCCTCCCGATATCTCAGCCCCAAGCCAAAACCGGGGCTCAATATCTCTCGTCTTGAAGATCTCCCTCACCAGCCGGTGAGTCTGATTGCTTATAAATCCAAAAGTCTGACCTCTTAAAAAAAATTAAAAAACATTATATTGATATATATAAATGATGAGTATGATCAAGCCAATCGTTAAGGGATTTTCTAGATGGAATAAAGCCACGCTGCGCGATTACGTCCAGCGATATAATATACCGTACGATCAAAATGTTGCTCTTACGCGTAAAGTCTACATCAACGGGATAAAAAAATACGAAGCTCAATTTAGAAACTTGAGGAAAAAGAAGCTACATGAGCTCAAACAGATTGTAGACGATTATGATCTAGAATATAACCCGTCGGGTTATAAGGGTCGATTTTTGAAAAAAGATTTACTCTCGGCGATTCAAAACTCTAGGCAACCCGAGTATTTTCAAGAGGCTGAGTTTAGAGCGACGAGGAGATTTAGAAATAACTTTAGAAACTGGGAACTGATTCCTAGACTTTTTAACGACGATTTAGTCAAGTTTTTGATACGCACAAAGATCAAATTGTAAATAAAATCAAGTCAGAATTGAGAGAGCTGAGAGGTTTAAAAATGGAGCTCACAATCAAAATAAAATACGAAAAAACCAAACCCGATGGTACGATCGAAACGATCGAAGCTACACATTTTACCGATCAGAGAGTCGTTTTAAATCAAAGTCAAATAAAACAGGTTTTAAAAGAAGACATCGACCAGATATTTAAAAAGGATGAAAGGTATACGAATCAAGGATCGGGTTGGGTTTTAAAAAAGATAATGGCGTTGTATATCAACATCAACAGGTTTAACCCTGTGAGAGGTAGTTCTTATATTGACCTACCAAAATGTATCAAACAGAAAACGGCGATGATTAACATTAAAAACAAAGACGACGAGTGTTTGAGATGGTGTTTGAGAGCTGCTCTTGGGTTGTATACGGATAAAGTAAAAAATAACATAAAAAACGATCCTAAATATAAAATTCATAAAGAAGAACCTGTTGTATACACCAAAGACGACGGACTCAAATTTAAAGGCGTAGACTTTCCAACACCGATCGACCAGATACCAAAGATAGAAAGACAAAATAATTTAACGATAAACGTATACGGTTATGAGGGGGAAATATATCCGTTATACGTGTCTAAAAACTACAAACCAGAGTCACGACCTATCGATCTGTTTTTGTTTTCTGAGGGCGACAAGCATCACTACTGCTGGATAAATAACTTTTCGAGATTGATTCACAACGTTACAAAAGATAAAAGTAAGAAATATTTTTGTCGAAGGTGCCTGAGTCATTATAGAACGCAAGTAAAATTAGATAGACACACGGCCGATTGTAACGGTATAGATACACATCCGTCAAAGATTGTATTTCCTACCGCTAAGCAAAAATATGTAAATAACGAGTGGATAGTCGACGAAAACGATGTGCCAACATTAGAATTTAAAAACTACAGGTTTAAACAAAAAGCACCGTTTGTAGTTTACGCCGACTTTGAATCGATATTAGAAAAAAACTCGGACGATAAAAAGAACAACACGCAAAAGACAAACATTCACAAAGCTAGCGGTTACTCGTTGGTAGTAGTTAGATGCGACGGCACCAATGCATATCAAGAGACTTATAGAGGTAAAGATGCTGTATCAAAGTTTGTAAATAAAATGTTAAAAATACAAAGCGACATAAATTGCATATTTAAAAAACCCCAACCCATGAAATTTAATGAGCGAGCTAAAGAACATCATGATACAACAAACACGTGTTGGATTTGCGAGCAACCAATTTATCCCAATTACTCGAGCAACTGTCAGTGCCAGAAACCCCAAATACCAAAAACAGAAAAACAAATAAAAGAACATCAGTACGAAAACAAAAATGGATTTACAGAGTCTAAATGCCTCGAATGCAAAAAGAAAATCAACAAATTTAGAAAGGTGAGAGATCACTGCCACGTCACGGGTAGATATAGAGGTACCGCGCACGCCTACTGCAATCTAAAATTACAAGTTAAACCAGGTTTTACCCCCATACCAGTCGTCTTTCACAATCTGCAAAATTACGACGCTCACTTGATCATGCAGAGTATTTCAGAGTACGATGAAAAGGAAATACAAGTTATCGCTAGAAATTCAGAAAAGTATATTTCGTTTTCGATCGGAAATATGCGATTTATAGACTCGTTTAATTTTATGGCGTCTTCGTTGGATAGATTATCTAAAGCTTGTCCGAGAGAGTCGTTTAAACTACTCAGAGAACATTTTAATCGTCAAAATATCGACTCGTTGTTACAAAAAGGAGTTTATCCGTATGAATACATGGACTCGTTTGACAGATTTCAAGAGACCAGCCTACCCCCCATCGAACAATTTTACAGCAGCCTAAAAGACGAAAATATATCGCGAGAGGACTACGACAGAGCTAAACTGACGTGGAACGAGTTTAAAGTTAAAAACATGGGGGAATATCACGATTTGTACGTCACTACCGATACGTTATTACTGGCATGCGTATTTGAAAACTTTAGGAAAACGTGCATTACAAACTACGCGTTAGATCCGGCTAATTACTATACAGCACCAGGATTGTCGTGGGATGCCTTGTTAAAACACTCGGAAATTAAACTCGAACTATTGCAAGACGTAGACAAACATTTATTTTTTGAAAAAGCAAAAAGAGGTGGTATCTCAAGCGTGGGTGGTATGAGATACCACAAAGCCAACAACAAATACCTACCCAACCATAATCCAAATGAGCCGTCGAGTTACATCACCTACCTCGATGCAAACAATCTGTACGGCTGGGCCATGAGTCAATACCTGCCGTACAAAGACTTTAAATGGGCGTCTACAAAAACGTTTACCGAGTCTAAGATATTATCTCTCAGGAAAACGTCAAACACCGGTTACTGCTTTGAAGTAGACCTCGATTACCCGGATAATCTCCACGACCTGCACAACGATTATCCCCTAGCGCCAGAAAATATCGTCATACCAAAAGAATGGATGTCTGATTATCAAAACGAGTTATTGGATACCGAACCTAGTAGCAACGTGCAAAAATTAACGTGTACCCTTAATCCTAAACAAAAATATGTTTTGCACTACGTCACGTTGCAGTTGTATCTCAAACTCGGCTTGAAACTTAAAAAGGTACATCGAGTGTTGCAATTTAAACAAGCTCCTTGGATGGCATCTTACATAGACAAAAACACGCAACTCCGAACAAAAGCGACCTCTGATTTTGAGAAAGACTTTTTTAAACTGATGAATAACAGCGTGTTTGGTAAGACGATGGAAAACGTCAGAAACCGGATTGACGGTTACCTGCTCAGAGACAATAACGATGACGATCGAGATAAATACCAAAAAATTATACAGAAACCGAGCTACAAAACGACGACGTCATTTTCAGAATGCAAATTGTCATTTGTCGAAAAGTACAAGACTAAAACCGTGTTAAACAAACCAATCTATTGCGGAGTGAGTATCTTGGATCTCTCAAAGACGCTGATGTATGATTTTTATTACAACCATTTGAAAGACAAGTACAAAGAGAAAATCAGGTTGATGTACACAGATACGGACAGTTTGGTACTCGTAGTGCACACTGACGACGTGTACAAAGATATGCAGCAAAACGGGCAACAATACGACCTTTCGAATTATCCGACGGATCATCCTTTGTACGACCCAACCAATAAGAAAGTGATCGGTAAATTTAAAGACGAGTTTGGAGGTAAAATAGTCAAAGAAGTTGTTTGTATAAGACCTAAAATGTACTCCATTTTAACCGCTGACATCAACCTGAAAAAAGCAAAGGGTGTCACAAAATCGGTTACCTCTAAGAAATTAAAACACCGACACTATTACGACTGCATCTTAAACAAGAAATCTCACTATGAAACCATGACTCACATTAGATCGGAAAACCATATTCTTTACACCGTATCTCAAAATAAACTATCGTTGAGTCCGTTGGACACAAAGAGGTACATTTTACCGGACGGTATAAACACGCTGGCTTTTGGTCACCGCAATCTAGATATTAATTAGGCGGTAATTGCGTGTCCTCGGGTACGACTTGAAGCTCTTGTCTCACAAAACTCCTTTTTGGGCCGTTTTGAAGGTAATAAAGAGTAGGACCCGTCGTGACTTTTTTACCGTTAATCATTTTAAATTGACTCGTTCTTTTTTCCACGTTGAAGATGTCTACGCTCCAAATGGGATCCGTGGCTCTTCTCGAGGTTCCACCCTCTTGCTCGCCCGGGTAATATAAATATCTAACCATGGCATCTTGCGGTAATTGTTGCTCTTTTGTTTTAACGGGGTTAGCCGGCGATTGCCGGACCTGTTCAAGTTTAACCGCCTCTGACGGTGCTTTA